CACGTCTGCACTGCGCCTCCTCTGAGTCTCAGTGTTTTTCTCTTTCCTCCTAGTTGTAGAATTTCCACTCAGCCAGCTTTCCTGTGGTTCTGGATGATGTCTGTTTCGTCTTTTAGTTGTATTTTTGAAGTGGTTGTTCAAGGCAGCAAACTCCGGTGTTTACCTATGCTGCCATCTTGGTTTTTCCAGAAATATTTTCTACACTAGAGGCCCGGTGCACGGGATTCATGCACTGGTGAGGGGTGTGGCCTGCAGGGATTGGCCCACTGTGAGAGTGCCGCTCATCCCATTCAGCTGAGCGACTGTGGACCCACCCTCTGAGCAGCTGCTCCCTGGTCTGGCATCTTTGTGGAGCGGGAGCACTAGCTTCTTCAGGGAACCCAGCTGGGGCTGGGCCCAGGGACAATAGCACTGAGAGGTGGGGAGTAAGCCTCAGTCCCATGGTAGCCACGAACCCACCTCCCAGTCTTCAGGGTCAGTGCTGCGAGCCTGGCAGCAGCAGTGCTGCATGGCCTGCAAGCATCCAGAGGAGGCGTCAGGGAGCAAGGAGGAGGAGCCTAGGGTGAGAAGGCTACATCACAGCCGGGGTTGCTGCCCATCAGCTCAGGGTTTGCATGGGAGCAGCGGCTCATCCCGGTCAGCCAAGTGATGCTCCCACTGTGGTAGCGCGCTGACCACCAGGGGGCAGCTCCAGTCATAGCGACTGGTCGACCAGTCGTTCTGGTCATTCCGCCTTTCAGTCATTGGGCTTTTATTATATAGGATGTTATTAATATTCACATGACTAGATAATTTTGAATTAATAATATTGCTTTGCAGTGTTAGATATTTTTAAGTAACTTACATGTTACTTATGAATATGGTCAGTGATGCCATAAAGGAAAAAAGAACACTAGGAAGTTCCAAGAGCTATTTTAGCAGTCAGTAGCATGAAGGTGAAGGCCATTGCCATCTTCCACTGCTCTCTATCTCTGCAACCTTCGGCAAATTATTTTATAAAACAAATAACCTTAGAGAAAATGTCTTCATAGGGTTGTGAGAATCAGATTGGCAAATTATTTTATAAAACAAATAACCTCCTCATAGAAAATGTCTTCATAGGGTTGTGAGAATCAGAGAAAAGAATATATCTGAAGTAAAATAATACAATGCCCCACATACTATGAGCACTTGTTACAAAATTAATATCACCATGTGCTTCTATGTTCTTTTTCTTCTTTTGCAATGATGCTAATTTGGTGAGCCCTTGAAAAGAATTTGACTGTGTAAAGTAGACTGATTAGAAATCCAAAACATTGGGTGGTAGTCTTAGCCTTTCCTCAGAATGCCAGATGACCTTGAGTAAGTTATTTTGAGCTCTTACATATTTAATTTCATGATATTGGTTATGAATTTGACTCCCATGGCAGGGGGTATACTTTACTTTTTCTCATGGAAATATCCTGTTGATTTTCATGCCAGTTGGACAGTTAGCCTCTCATCTCAGAGTAGGCTCAGTGGGCAACTTGGAATGACTCAAGGCAGAATCATTGTTGCCAGTAGGAGAAAAAGTCTCAGAAGGGTAATAGATCAGAAGCATGATGTTCTATCAGAATGGCAGCACTTAATCCAAATATTATTCAATAAACATGTCTCTATTTGGTAAATGGGCTGGGCTCAAGGTGTAGCTGAGAAATGGAGTCAAGAAACTGCTATTTTTGTTTTATTTTTACCCTCTGCCTTTAGGCACTGTTGCTTTCCCATCCCTATAAGCTCAGTTATCCCATAGGCAGATCATTTCCTGGTCAATTCCAGTTATTAAATGAACTCATCTTTAGTTATAAAACACCTAGGTATTGTAAATTAACATTTTGAGTTTTCATCTAATTCAGAGCTTTGCTTTCCCTATATCAAGCCTGACCTATGGTGTGGAGCAAGCAGTAGGTGAGAAGGCATGGTCTCTGCTTTCCTTGCAATGGTCTCTATTCACCTACATTCAAAATCTGTTTCAGGGAATATGAGAGCAACAAGAGCAAAGAACTTTTTACTTAAGGGGGAGTGTTATAGTTGTCTCCTGACGTGGCAGACATCTTCAGTTCAGGCAATGTGTAGGGGGCCCATGGGTGAGTTCTTGGGTTCTTCAGAGAGTTTCTGTGGATTGGTCTGGACTAGACCTCTGCTTGACATAGTGGAGCTCTCTCCTTCTGACTCCTCAGAATTCCTTTCAGCAACTGCCTTCTAGTGGTACATACCACAAAGCCTTTTTTTATTGCAGGGTCCTCTAGCCCCAGATGACTGCCTCACTGGGCAGATTCTTCTCAAGACACCTCTAGTTTGGTTAATTCCTATAGCTTCTGCTTGTGCTATCTACTAGTAAACGATAAAGCTTGCTCTCACTGCTGCCCCCTCTCCCTTCCCTCTGATATTTCAGCCTCAAAACCATTTCGCTTAGGGTGGTTCTTATGAACTTCACTTCTTTGGGTTAGGGTGATGCAGGAAAGAAAAACACAGTTCTTGCTCCTTCTAAAAATTCCCTTTTAAAAATCTCTTGATAATCTCTAGTTTTCTTTGATATAGTCTGTATATAGGTAATTGTGTGTGTATGGGGGTATGTTTGCATGCTTACAGTTGAAGGACCAATATGGACCTCACTTAGTAGGTTCTATGGAATTATGGTAATGGGCTAATTTCTTTACAAAATGAAAAGCCCCTCACCATCCTCTTAGGTATGTCCATCTCCTACTATGTGTTAGGCATGTACATGCCTCTGTATAAAAGACTGATCACTAAAGTTCAGAATTTAGTGGGGGATTCACATACATGAATGAATGAAATGCAAATCTAAAGTAGTGAGTGCCAGGAAACAAGAAGTTCAGAAAAAGCAGAGATTGCTTCTGATAATCTGAGATTAGGAAGGAGATAGTAATGGAGGATAGACAGAGAGATGTTTAGGATGGCTTCATGGAAGAGGTAGCATTTATAACAGGAAAGATAGATTTCAAACATTATTTTACTAAAAGAAGGGAACAAAGTAGAACAAAACAACATGAGCAAGAGAGAGCAGACAAATATGGAGCATGAGTTTTTCAATTTAACCACACTGTAGGACATTTGAAAAGAAACATCAGGAGATAAAATTTGAAAGATGAGTTGTGTCAGATCACAGAATCTTGACTGAGAAATGTGGACATTAATCTGCAGGTGTTAAGAGTCATTGAAGATTAAATGATCAACGCAAAATCACTTTTACCAAGGACCCCTACATGTCCAAATTCCCAGGTTATGGTTTTGACCTTAAGCTTGAGTTAGTATGAGACAAAAGACAATACTATCATACATTTAATTTATTTATATACTTACTTATCTATACACACCTGCTTTGGTTCCACAAGATTCTGAATCAACACACAAAGGCGCCTAATAAAACAAGATATAATACAGGAGTAGGCAAAAGCAGGTTTACAGTTGAATTGTGACAGTCTTTTGAGTTAATAAAGCTATTGTAATAATCATAATCTGCATGTCTTTTTGCATACAAATAACTGTAGTCCTACTTTTGCCCACCTGTGTATATTAAAGGGAAAATCCAGCAGAAAAGTAAGATGAAGTCAGGGAAGTCAATTAAAATAATATATGCCTTGAAGTCCAATTTGACTCTAATAGACCTAGAAGTCCTATTGAAAGGAATTTGTCCTTGCTACACCTTTGTTCCCTTCAATAAGACATACTCAGATCAAGAAAATAGAGGAATATAATTCTAAAAAATCTGAGAACAGAAATTCAGAAGCACCTGGCCCCGAGGAGGGCCAGAACACCCAAGGCTGCTTTCTTAATTTCCAAGAGACCAACTTATCTCTTTATTCTTCTTTCTTTTCTTACTGTTTTCATCTATCTTCTACTCCTTCACCTTGCCAATGACCCTAAATGGTGACTCCTTTGAATCTCTATTTTCTTGATCAGTGATTCTCTCTCATTATTGATGTTTCTATCTCTCTCCTTCTCCCTTCCTCTCTGAAATCAATAAAAATATATACTTTAAAAAAAGAGAGAGAGAAGCATACCTACATTATATCCAACTGATGCTGAACAACTAAGATCTGTACCTTGAGAATAGAAATGAGAACTGCTAAGTTCTCCCATACAGCAAGCCCTGTGCGAGGTTCAGTAAGGTCCAAAAGTGGCGTGAGACAGGTTGTCCCCCCTCACGGAGCTCATAGTCTGCTGAGTGTATGTGTAAACAACTCAATTTAATCAAGACACCTTCGCCTTAGTGGCAATATGAGCAATATGCTGTGGAAACTCAGAGAAGGTAATGATTAATTCTGAATAAAATATATCATTCCTCTGCATGCACTCTGATAGCATATATCATCATCATCATCATCATTTTAAGCCAACCTGGACAATTCAAGGAAGCTTTTCTGGCTGCTGAGAAGCAATACTGCTATCCAAGCTTGTATTTCATGGATCCGTTTTATCGTTTTTAATTCATGAGACCCACCCCACTGCATTGTGCTATAGAGCAAAAAATGCTGAGTTTACATCATTCTTACACTGTGGGTATTTAAACAAAGGACTCTGCTTCTCTGAACTTCAGTTTCTTCATCTACAAACTTGGAGATAAAATACCTATTTTGTATTGCTTTTTGAGGAAATACTAGTAAAGATAACATGTATAAAACACTAACCTGGTCTCTGGAACCTAGAAAGAGTCCTAAAATGGTAGTCATTATTTTTAAATTTATCTGTAGTCAGGTGTACAGAATCCTTGTCAGAAAGTATTAGGCATTTCTAATTTGGAAAAAGTTAAAATATTCTTTATATAAGGGCTCTGAATCAATCAGTTATTTTAGCAAATGCTGCTTAACAAACTACCCTCAAAAGTTTTAGGCTTACAACACCCACTCGTGGGTCTATAGGTTGATTGTCATTCAACATGCATATAGGTGGGCTCAGCTAAGCCATTCTGCTTAAGAATGTAGGTGAGTTGGTCTTGGTCCAGGCTATGTGTTTGATTCATGTCAGCTCCCTATTTTTCATCCTGGGGCCAGGCTGAATGAGCAGACCTAGGCATGTTCCCATTGCAGGTCACAGAGCAAAGCAGAGAGCAAGCCCAGCTGTGCAAGAAGGCCTCAGACCTCTTATAACATTTCTTTGGACAGAAAAAATAACTCAGTGAAACCAAAATTAAGGAGTGGTAAAGTCTACTTTGCCCAGATGAGACCAATACTTCAATCTATCTTAGGCTCTCTATAAAAAGAAATTCCAGAAACCCAATGTGCATCTGAGAAAGAGAAGCCCAAAGTGGGAAAAGTCAGGTGCACAGGTACAATTACACCTCTTTTCCTTACCTGTGGCCTCTTTATGAACTCTGTGGCCACATTCTACCTTGTGTATTGAAGTGCAGAAAGAACTCCAAGCACTGCAGCCTCTGTCTTCTGTCTTCTTACACATGAAGGACAGTCTCCTTGCGCCTCCCCTCAGCTCTGACCACAGCCCACATTGTGTGTCCCTTTCTGTGTGCCCTTTAATGACTTCTCACGCCAGCTCCCCAGATTTAGGCCAAACTTTGCTGGTGGAGGACACAACCTCAACAAGGCTGTCCTTACTTCAGATACTAGCTTTAAGTTAGGGGGTTCCCATGCCACCTGCACTTCTGACCAGCTGGCTACAAATTTGGAGTTTCTCACTAACCTCTCAGATTCAGTAATTCACATCAACATCTCACAGAACTCAAAAAAGTGTTACACATATGATTACAGTTTTGCTATAGCAAGTGGATAAAAATCAGAATCGGTTAATGTGAGAGACTTAGAGGGAAAGATCTGGGAAGGGTCCCAAAGGTGATATTCCATTGTCCTCTCCATGCGGAGTCAGTTTGCCTTATCCTCCTGGCAAATCAATGTGTGATAATATGCATGGGATAGCCCAGCATGGAAACACACCTGACCTCCCATGTGTGCAGTTTCCATGGAAGTTCCATTTTTGAGGCATAATTGATCTAATCATTGGCCATGAAGTTGAACTCAATCCCAACTCCTCTTCTCTCTCCGAAGATCAGGCTGATGTCAGGAGTTTAAAGTCCCAATTCTCCAGTCACACAGCTGTTTTTTGTTTTGTTTATCTGGCATGCCAGGCCCCATCCTGAGTCATCTCCATAGCACAAACTCTCTTCAGGCCCACCATGAGTCATCTAGTTGGCATGAGCCATCAGGACTCAATATGAATAACAAAGATACTCCTATTGACTCAGAAAAATCCCAAGGATTTTAGAGGGTATATCCCAGGAAATTGGGTAAAAAGCCACCCCAATTCTTTATTCCAAGGATTTTGAGATAACCTCCCAATAGCCTGGGACAAAGGCCAGACAAAATCTTTATTACAAAACCCATCTATGTCTTCTATTAGACTGCAAGCTCTTTGATAGCATATGAGAGTCCTTCTCTGAATACCCCATAACTTCTAGCCCAGCACCCTTTTGGGAAAATATTGCTTAAATTGTAAAGGTAAAGCCTTAGTCATAGAGCTTTAGGGTAAATGAGTTGGAAGAGCCTTTGGAGACCTTGTAGACATTCCAACACATTCATTTTATACAGAGAGTTTAAAATGATTACCCCAGAAAACGCATTGAGCAAACTGAAAAACTACTTTAGAGTTTTATTATCCCAAACTGGACGCCCAATGCCCATCACAAAACTAAGCATACACACTTTATTTTCTTCTCACATCAAAGAAGTCAGTGATAAGTTATGAAAAGGGAAAGGTGACAGATATGAAGGCAAGAACTGAAACATGACTATGATATAAACTTTTAAATGTGATGTATCTAATTTCTGACCTTTCCATGCTTTTTCCTGCTCTGCCCTAAGCAGTGCATTCCATTTTCATATATATATTCTTGTTAGAATGTGTAGCTTCTCAGGAGGATGTAGATACTATATTTTAACATTCTCATCTGGAAGCAAGATTTTTTTATGAGCTCTATTTCCTAACTGAGTCTAATGCACTCTAGTAGTTCTCCATTGAGACACATTTCCAGGAGGGAACAGAGTACATCTCTAACATTTATCCCGATAGATAGAAATACTCTACAGAATATTTGCTGAATGAACAATAGAACAAATGCTTTTTAAAAAAATGTGCTACCCTATGAAGATTAGTCTACCTAGATGCTTTCTTACTCTCCTCCTCTTAACTCTCCACTTTTCCATCATCACTGAGAAGTAATAGGAATGCTTATACATATGAAAGGCCATCCTTCTCTTATATAT